TCGGAAGTCAAATAACAGAGGAAGGTAAAAAACCCAAGGGTGGTTACGAATGTGTCTGACTGGAAGTCAATAACAGAGGTAAGATAAAAACCCAGGGGTAGGTTACAATGTGTCTGACTGGAAGTCAAATACAGAGGAAGAATAAAAACCCAGGGGTGGTTACATTTGCCATAATCTGAATGGAGAAAAAAAAAACAACCTCATCGAATCGATAAAATTGGTAATTTGACGGACATTTTGAATTTGTAAGCCGTCGTGAAAGATTGCATTATTAATATTTGTAGTACACACATTAGATTCGTAGGTCATATTCAATAACGTAAATAATCTATCTGACATCAGGTTAACTAGTTACCATAATATCAGAAAATATGCTCTACTTAAGGCAAAACCGCCGGAAAAAAAAAAGTCAAGCAAAGTTTTTGTAAAATTTGGGTTATAATTAAGTTAAAATTCCATACTGAAAAGAATCTACTTAATATATTCTCTACATCTGAAAAACTTGCGTAAGAGCATTACACTATCCACCAAGTTGGAGAAAACCTGACGACGAGAGTGTAAGTTGCATTTAACGTAAGTTACTAAATCTTCTTCAAATACTGATTTTTTTAAAAAAGGTGCAAAACAAACTTGCTATTATTTAAGATAGATTTTATCTTAACTATAGAGCTCAAGCTACAAAGATTACTTAATGAAATTTATTCTAGTACTGGATAACTAAAGGGTAAAAGTAATATAATAATATACTATAGAATACCATGATATTATATTATATAAGAATATAATATATAATGCAATAATATTATATAATAACTTAAAGATGTTTCGGTAATCACCGAGCACAAGCCATTCAAGTAAATTCAGTCATGACAAACACTTTATATCCAGAGAAAATTGATCAAAACCCTATATGTATCTTGAGCAACAAATAGCTAAAAACAAGGCTTAGCATTAGATTGACGATAAGTTATTGATTTGCTATACTTGAATACAAATTAGATAAAATGAAGTCATTACTCTACGAGGTATTAATGAAGAAATGTTTAAATAATTGTAATAACGGAATTGGGTATATATGTTCCTGGTATCCATTATTAGTTGGGTGTACATGTTCCTGGTATCCATTATTAATTGGTTGTACATGTTCCTGGTATCCATTATTAATTGGGTGTACATGTTCCTGGTATCCATTATTAATTGGGTGTACATGTTCCTGGTATCCATTATTAATTGGGTGTACATGTTCCTGGTATCCATTATTAATTGGGTGTACATGTTCCTGGTATCCATTATTAATTGGGTGTACATGTTCCTGGTATCCATTATTAATTGGGTGTACATGTTCCTGGTATCCATTATTAATTGGGTGTACATGTTCCTGGTATCCATTATTAATTGGGTGTACATGTTCCTGGTATCCATTATTAATTGGGTGTACATGTTCCTGGTATCCATTATTAATTGGGTGTACATGTTCCTGGTATCCATTATTAATTG